CTCAAATACTGTACATCATTTATTTATATATATATAGCCAGAATTTAGTACTTCATTTCATTCTTTTATTTGGCTCATTTATGTCTGATCAATAGTTGTGGAGGACTTAATCACTAGACACATGAATGTATTTCATTTTGAATTAGAGCTTATTATAATACTATTATATTATACTTGTTACATAAGTGGATAAGTCATTTGGCGAGGTTATTTTGATGCCTGTGCAGCATAGCATAACTAACTGCATTGAAGAATGTTCCTTTCCACACCTACGTTTTCAAAAGAAAAGATGTACTCAGTTTTTCAAAAGAGACATGCCCTCTTTTCCTGCTCCCTAGCTAACTGTGGTGAAAAGCCTTTGTTGAGTGTGCTGGTTTCAAAGGCACATGAAGGCCGCCTCCCACATGGAGAGCACCACTGCAGACAAAAGCAGGACACTCCACACTCGTGTTCCCTTCACTTTACACCTAAAATGACAAAGTAAACCTGCCTTGGACTCAACCAGTCTAAGTCATCTCGACTTTGCCGTCAGGACAGAATTTTCATATTATTCTTGATATCTTTCATTTCATAGCAGTGCCCACGTAGTATGTTATAATAAAGTCTAACTGAAATGACTTTTAGTCATCCCTTTTTGTTGTCAAAAATAACGTCAACAATTGTTTGTTATCATTAAAAGGAAGAAAAAAACTGCTTGAAGAGTGTGTTTGATTGACAGCAGCTGGCAGGCTGTTGGTGTTACACAGTAAGGAACAAGAGAGAAAGTAAACAAACCTGCACTGTAGCCGATATGTCATGGGCAGGCAGCGTGTTAGTGGTCTTGAAGAGTAACCACAACAGGTGGGAAGTGACATTTGCAGGTAAATTTAGATGCAGCTGAGCAGCTACTTGGCTAACTACCTTGCAAACTAAAGGGGACCTTAGCAGGAAAGCTAATGTGGGTTGTTCAGAGTATGTGGGCTTTGTTTTGTTTAGCCGGCTGCTGTCAGATTTGGTTGGCTCTATCAAAACAAGGTCTCCGGCTACGTAGACTGATATCTAAAGGTATTCCATTGAATTAATACAAATCTAGGGGGTGCCATCATGAAACAAAGAAATATCTCCCATTTGGTTTTTAATTTTTTTTTTCTCAAAGGCAAACACGACTGTGGTTTTACAGAGCAGATATGTATGTTGTAGCAGACAGTGAATCAATATATTTGACCTTTGCAACCCGAGCAAAATGACTCGTTTCGCTATCAGAATGTGATCCATTCGGTCGGTAACATTTGAAAAGGCTACACCAGCCGCACCATAGACAGTATATTACTGGACGAAGTCACCCCGCTGATTTGAATGGAGAGCAGTGAAGCCAGTTTTGGACCAATAAAATACTACTACAGGTCCGCTTCCTGTTGGCACCAGCGTCTACTGTGCATGATCGCGCAGCATAACCGTGGTCTAATGACGTAGAACAACTGCAGAAACACCATAATTCTGGTAGCTGTATAAATGCGCCAACAAAAAGTTTCATGGCTCATGACTCGGATCGTCACCGTTTAAAGCCCACCTACAAGGTTCACCTGCCAAACACCAAAGCAGCGTCTCTGATTGCTCTGATAGTTTTTTTTTTTGTTTGTTTGTTTTTTATTGGCGAGACTTTATAATCTAAGCAATACAGTTACATCTCTCATGTGCGACGTTGTCAGGATTTTGACGTCATGTTTTGGGCCTACATGGATCCCTCCATGCTGGCTTTGGTCGGCTTCACAGTCCGTTCTCTGGCTTACCCCCTTGAACCGCACGTATACATTTTTACCCCCATTTATGTTAGTGGAGCACTAAACTGGAAGTTAGCCTGCTCGGCCAGCAAAAGTTAACACAGGAGGACACTGTAGTGATAGTACCGACTAGCGTTTGGGGGTGTAATTGCAGAATGACGGACACACCTACGCACATGTATAAATGCATGGCTACGTGCGTAGCCTACAGCGTAGATACGCACGTAGACCCTACACAGGAGTATAAATGGGCCTTAAAGCCCTGGATATACTTGCTTTTTAATGATGTGTAGGTGTGGACAGGCGTCGGCGATGCAAACGGCATTGTTCACATACTTGCCTGCATATTTTGCATGTACCTGGAGGAGACATACTTCCCCCACGTTCATGTGCAGAATTGCATCTTGCGGCAATCTTGCAAACACGTAGTTAAAAGCAAGTATATCCAGGGCTTAAAGCAGTTAAATTTAATTTGAACTTTAAGATATGAACTGTGATTTAGCATATATATGTCTTTGTTCTAAAAATTATGCTGTAAACAAATTATTTGCAAAGAAATGCTTTTTCAGTGATGTAGGAACATCTGATTTTTTTTGTGTAGATTCATCCAAATCACAAAAAAATACAGTTTATCACTTACCTCTAGTGGTATCTTACAGTGCAGTTTTTGGCAATAGTAGAAGAAATACTCAGATGCAATACCACAGTGGTGATTGCTGTGGTAAGTAAATGTCCTGCCTTCAAACTGATACTTAAGTTAAAGCATAGAAGCAAAATGTACTTGAGGGTGAAAAATAAAAGTACTCATTCTACAGAATGCCCTTTCCAAAGTTTTAGTTAAGTATTATTTATACTGGTTGTTGATCTAACAGCATTTGCAACCCCCCTTTCCAACATCAGAAATATTCAGGGACTTCGTGCCTCGTTTTTTGTTTGTTTGTTTGTTTTTTTACTTTCCAAAACCACCACTCAGGCCCACTTCACTAGGGCTGCAACTAATGAGTATTTTTGTAGTCGACTAATCTGTTAATTATTTATTATTATTATTTAATTATTACCCTAACCCTAATCAAACCGATTAACTAATTAAATATCTTTCAAGTGAATTACTGATCTCCAACACACAGCCTAACTAGCTAATGTTACCATGAAGTGAACGAGGTTTACTATTCAGAATGAACGCCAGGGGGAAACCAGGGAAGAAGACAAGACAGCGTAGGCTACTCGTATAATTCAGTGATTTATACAAACTTGTAACTGTTTAACAAAGATTTTTGCTTTGGAACTATATAAAATAAAAGCAAATTAAAAGCAAGTACTATAACCAGTAACCACTAACAATGTAATGTCTATTTAGAACAATAAAGCAACAGTCCCCTTTCATAATACTTCTGGAGTTTATTTTCCAGAAGTGCTTATAAGTTTTAGGCAATAACTCAGTGGAGAATGTTCTGTAGGCTACATCACGAGCCAGATGTTCCTTGATGTACTTTAAACCATTACTCATTACAAATAACTTTTTTAAAGCTGGGTCTCCGACATTGCCAGTGTTGGACAGATTTGTGCTGCGGTGTTTATGAGAGAGAGACGAGTGAGAGGATGCGCTGCGTGAATGCACTAAGGCGGTGATCAGCAATCAAATAAGATTTTAAATAGGCCTAGTAAAATAAAAAATAAATAAAATTAGTGTGTGCTGGTCAGCGTTGATATTGTGGCAGGCCGCCACAAATAAATGAACGTATAGGAAACACTGCCTTTCCCCTGTTGTTGCTGCTGCAGCAGTCTGAGTAACTGGGACCAGGCTCTATGGGTGTGACTGGCTGGCCGGCTGGCACCGCTAACCTCACGGCACTTGTGGAGCTTCTCAACCCCGAAAACATTTGAGCACATTTTCGATTCACCATCAACTTTGTTAAAACTACCAATATTCAAATCCTACACAGTTGATTTCTCGCCTCAAAGTGTATTTAGTGATTTAATAGCGTACAAAACCTAAAAAAATCAAAAGCCATTTTGCTGTTCACATCTTTCGCATGAATGCTTCATCTTCGTGAGAAGTCTAACAGTCAAGCAGTCATGGCAGACAGTGGAAGCCAAACTGCCCCCAGCACTTCCTGTAGTGCATTGCAGTTAGAAATACACAACCAGAAAAGTTCCTTAAACGGCATCTATGTAACAATGCGTCGACAATGAAATTTCACGTCGACAAAGATTTATAGTCGACCTTTCTCTCAAGCTCTCCAGTATCATTCTTCATACAACTATTGTCTGTCACTTCTTGTGTGTTCAACAGAGTGCAGCACCGTGAATTTTCATGCTATTCAGCAAGTCCAACAGCTTGCCAAACTCAGACACCAGGCCTTGTGTTTGTGGAGGAGTAGTAGTTTTTTATGTAGTTTTTATGTAAGTAGTGTTTCTTTCTGCCAATGATGATTTAAAGTTCTTTTTTAAAGTCCTGCCATGGGGTGCATACGTGGGTGGAACCAGGAACCCCTTACTTGGTCTTATGCTGTGACAGCGCACGTTCTCCTGAGGAATCCTGTCTTGTTTTCCACACATTTCCCTGGAGTAGACTTCTGTTACTGGGCAACCTGACAGTGACAGAGCCTGATCATCTGTTCCCGCCTCCACCCGTCATGCCTTTACATTTCTCATGTGCACTTGTTTCATGTCCTTCGAAATGTCAGGCATGCATAAATAATAAACGTGATTGAGGAAAGCTTCTTGTCTGGTTATGTGCCATACGTTGCTGCACATTGAACCACAGTATTGATGTGAGAAGATTAATCAAGTTGAATCGTAATTTGTCGGTCTATAATATATTGACACATCTGTCCTTGTGCTCCCACTGTGCAGTTTTCTAGGTATAATCATTTCATTTCAAATGTGGAATACTTAAATATTTAATAAACTCTTGTTTGCATTTCATTGTTTATATCCAGAGACTCATTTTTATAATATCAATTCATTTCCACGTCTTGCTGCTCTAGATGGTTAGATACCAACAGTGTATTATAATGGAGCCTAATTTGTATGAGGGTTTTCAGTTCATTAACTACGACTGTTGCCTAAAAATTCTGCTCAGCTCAGAAATTACTCAGCCATTAAGTCTGCAGAGTTGAAAAATGCTACTCATCAAACCGCAGCGTCACCTTTGTTCCATTAAAGCTTTTAATATGTATTTATCCCCAACAAATCTTCCCTGTCCGTAATTTCTTTGGGGATTGGGTTTTCCTGCAGAGATACAAGCCCGGGAGGTGTGATGAGATCCTCAAGTGGAAGCCCCCTAATCTCAACTCTGTGGACTTTCGCCTCAAGATCACCAAAGTCGGAGGAGAAGGGTAAGTTTCTGTTGCCGGGGTAACACTCTGCCTGATGAATATAATGGCACCTATCATTTTGTGACACACTGGAGTACTTTGAGCCATCCACAGCCATACGCATGTACAGCTGCAGTGAAGTCCATTGAATTTCTTCGACATTAATCTTTTCTTCACTATCCCGTCCTTTCATCACTTTTCCTTTTGCCTTGGGGTTCAAATCGTCGCTACAGGGTACAAAATCCTTTAACCATCATCGACTACATGCACGTTTGTGTCCAATCCCAGAAATATCTTTTATGTTACCTATATGGTGTTGCTTATATATGCAAAGAAAAAACACTGCTGACATTCCCTTTTTCTCTCATTTTTAAGTTTGTTATCCTCTGCATCATAAATTATTCAGATCCACCGGTGCTCATCCGAGCCCTTATCCTTGTATAAACATTAGAACCCTGCAGAAAAACAATTCAATACTAGGAAAAAGACAATAAATTCCTGCAGGTCATTACAACCTTTGGACGTGTACGGATGTCTGATTATGAAATGGAAACTAGTTGTAACATTGGTAGTTGTCTAAAAGTTGCTTTATAGAAGGAAAAGAAATTTGCGTCCAGCATTGAAAGAATACGTTTTGTTGAGACATTCCTGGTCCCCAGAAGATGAATTCTACCGACCTCTGTGATCTCTTGACATTTTCTCAGGCACCACTAGGTTGACAGTTTGGGTTTTTAGTTAAATGTCTCAAACAGCTATAGAATGTATTGCATTGAAATTTGATACAGATGTTCATTGTGCCAGAGGATGAATGCTTATAATTTTCATGATCACCTGACTTTTCCTCAAGAACCACCAGCAGGTCAAACTAAAGTTTTAACTTATGTAGTGAAATATTGCAACAACTTTTGGCTATTGCGCAAAATTTTGTACAGTCATTCATGGTTCCCAGAGGATGAATCCTTAGGACGTTGGTGATGCCCTGACTTTTCTTCTAGCTCAACCATGATGTTGACATCCATGGTTTTGAGTGAAATATCTCAACAGCTATTGGATGGATTGTCATGAAATTTTGTACAGACATTTATGTTAAGGTCAAAATTAAAATCTGTCCAATACTTTGCTTTATGACCAAATACCTGCCAAACTAATGACATTACCTTGAGCCTCAGCTGTACCCTGAGTTTATTGCTAATTATCAAATGTTAGCATGCTAACAGACTAAATTAAAACGTTGACAATGATAAAAATTACACCTGCTAAACATCAGCATGTAAGCATTGTAATTGTGAGCATGCTGACATTCGCATTTATCTCAAAGCACCACACTGTCCCTGAATACAATCCCACAGAGCTGCCAGCAAGGCTGAAGACTCATATTTTAGTTTTTTCTCTGCACAGCACATACAGCGTGCTTTCCATCAGAGCAGTCTGTGAGTGTTTTCTGAGTGCAGTCAAACAGACCCACAGCGGAGAGCTTTCTGGTCATGCTGCCTTTTCTTTTGGGAGCCAGGTGACCTCAGTGACTGTCCCAGCTTTGTAGCCATGAGCTTGCCACCATTCACCAACAACAGACTGAGAGGATCACAGAACGGCACAGTCGCTCATTCTACTCTAAAGGCATCCAGCAGGCCAGTTAGTCAGCTTCTTGACTCCACCCCGTGCGTGGGAGAACACAGACGAATATTGTTGCCATTTGAGAACGTTCTGATATTTCCCCCGAAAGACAAATTTTGCTGGCAGAGGAGCACTCATCAGACCTCACTCTGTCTCGGTGTAGGTTTTCAAACATCTCCTTAGTAACTGAGAGAGAGAGAGAGAGAGAGAGAGATGTGCAGACATGTAAGGAGATAACAACTGTTTATTCATCAGCCCACACAATCAATCCTTGAGCACGTCTTTGTATACCACTGAGGCACACAGCCTTGCAGGTTTTATTACCTTCTCTGACAGCACAAAGGCAGATGGTGATTATTGTGTGGCAGGAAGAGCGGAAAGGTGGAAAAAAACAAACTGGAAAGGTGAAGCAATTCCAGAAAGCATGCCATGCCATTCCCTAGTGTGGGATTGAACAATCTCAAGTACAGTATAGATTTCATGACTTGCGTTTCGTACCCAAATGTTTCTCTGCAGCATCTAAAAACTGTCCGTGCCAATTTTTTGCATCTTACAATTGACCCGGCAGAAAAATTGTATCCAAAAGTCAAAAACTCCCTGACACCATGAAGAGCCACCGTGACATTCAAATTTGTGGTTTTGAGGGAAAAGATTTAAACAGTCTTGGAGGCTCTGCATGGTGGCAGGGGGTTTTGACTTTTAGATCAAATATGCCTGCTGGGTCAATTGTAAGATGCACACTTGGCGCAGACCATTTTTAGACACTGAAGAGAAGAATTTGGGCAGGAAAGACATTCACTGCACTTGTAGTATGATTCAGAGCAAGTGGATACGAGATTTCGAGAGGGAGGCTTTGCTCGCAGCATTTTTGCCATCAGCATAACACATGAAGGATTCGGCAGAACAAACACGGAGCCCGTCTGTGGACTTTGAACTCCGTGAATGGATTTCTCTGTATGGACACAAAGATATCTAGAATTTGCGCCCAGATGACCCGGCTGTCTCCCAGTTGGCACGTTACCACAGGGAGTGTGTCGCCTGAATCCCAGCTTACACATTTAGTGGAATTTGAATGTGTAATTCTTCCACTGTTGAACAGAATTGAATCAATTTTTTGGCCTGTGCTCACAGTATTCATTCATTACTGTATTTAATGGATGCACTTAGTCATGTTATCTGACATTTATTTTTATTGCCCATTAAAATACCAAAAACAACAATGCATTAGTCCATCTATCGTCTTCAGTATTTATTTATTTAAAGTTTATTTTTATAGGTACAAGTACTGCCACATACCAAGTTAATTTGCGTTTGTCATTCCTAAATTAGCCTATATACAAAACATCTGAAAACATCAACAAGAAAATACAGGAAATAAAGGCACAAATACAATCAATGACAAATTAAACCATAAAACACAATGGCATGCTTCAGACAGATCCTTCAGGACTATCTGACTGATCCCTCTGTTAAAGTTGTTGCGTTAATTAACGCTGACAAGTATTTTATCGCACATTAGCGCAGTTTTAATTATTAGGCTATTTATATTATATATATATTTTTCAAAGTCCGTTGCTCACTGGCTCTGAATACACATACAGTCAAACCTTGGCTCACAGGAGGGGTGGGATGTTGATCAGCCTGCAAATCACCCACCCAAACAAGCAGCAGAGGGAGGCTTCAGCAGGCTACGCTGGATGCAGCGTGAGGGAGAAGTAGATAAACAAAAGCAAGACAAGCGATCAATTGTCATAGCGAAGTGGATAGTGCCGCACTGCACGCTGATTAGTTTTGGGGAAGATATGGGTCTTAGGAACCTCCTTAAAATTATAGGCTACGTAGATTTACCTGATAGGCCTTCATCTAGTTTTGCGGGGATACTCTGCCATGCGAATTCCCTCCTGTTGATGTCCTCTTTAGTAAACAGTAATAGATTCTGGAAACTCTCAAACAGCGAGGATCAGTCTCTTTTCCAATGATTTGTGCTGTGCGTCATGTACTAAAAGTTCAAGACAATTCAACTTTGTGTGCGTGAGGCGAGCACTTCACCTCATTCTAACAGGGACAGTTGCTACTGAACATGGACTGTTTATGCTGCTCCCTGATAAAAGAAAAATGTTTTTGCTGATACCTGTTCAGAGAAAAAAAGAAAAAAAAAGAAAACAGATTTATCTGTGTTAACCTGTTGCTCAGAAGGTGCCTTTGATCGTGGCTCTGGACTCTTAACTGGTTTTAACAAGCTAGATAAAAGGTAGCGTTAAATAGCTTTGGTTTTACATTTGATTTGATTACATTAATGTCTAAGTTGAGATTTACAAGAAATATTTTATTGCTACTGTGTAAAGGGAATTCTGCTGGTAAAAAGCTTATTTGTTTTAAGTGTTTGCAAACCACATGTTATTGCACTTTTGTGTACATAGCAGTACATTTAAATTAAAAGTGCACAATGCACTACTTTTAGAATTCTTCATTGAATTTTGCGCATAACAATGCAATTTTTTTATCGTTGCCCAGCACTAGTTTAAAATGATCCCATTCAGGATCCATTTTGATTTCTATGAACTAGGTGTTACACATATTGATCCCCCGAACAGAAATTGGATTTACAAAGGAGCACTTTGACACACACCGTGTCACTGACACTACCAGAAACCCAACTGACTATTTACATCAAGATGGTATCCGTGGGATTGACTCAATAACTACAGTGCCCATGTTCATAGTAATGCAGGAACATGTGTATCAGTGTTTCAGGCGATATCAGTCTTTGGCTCCACAGGCAATATGGGATTTGCTGATACAAATAAAAATATGGAGAGTGAAAAAGGAAATACAGCATGCCTCTGATACGTCCACAGGTGTGTTATGAGGCAGGTTGGCACTATATGATATACATTTGTCATATTTTACTGTCTTGCTCCAGGTCATAAATGTTTTTTTATATTATTTCACTTGAGAAACGAGGCCTTCTACCTATATCACATAGTCCCTCGTGTTCTTTGTTTTTGACATTATATTTTCCAAGGTTTTTTGCTTCTATGGATTAATAAATCGTTTGACATACTGTTCCAACTGTTACAGGTCTGACTGCGTGCTGCTCAAAGGCTACACTGACATTTAGCTGCATGCTGATTGGTTTAACAAAATCCCTGCTTTGTTATAAATACATAATACCATTTATTTATTTTTTTAAATAATTGATTTTGCAGTGTAATTTAAGACAGCGGGATTGTCTTAGTCACACGTGGACCTCAAACATTCAGATTGTGAGTGGAACAGCTTGTGCACGACAACAACAAGAATCTGTTTTTACTTTGATACATGTTCTCATCTGTTTCCTCATCTGTTCCATCGCTGCTATGATATCTTACTGTTTTACAAAATTGTGTCATGATCAGTACAATTGTCTTGTTCGTCAGTCCTGCAGGTTTAGAAAAGTGATATTTGACACACAAACACGTTTGTCAGGGGTATTAATAAAACCAGTGACGAGAATGGACTTGTGTTTTGTAAGGTCTTGGCACGTGACAGTATCCATCACTGCATGGCTATTTGGCTCTCTTAATGTCTACTGCTGCTTCCTTCCTGTTTGTGGTAGCTATCATTACACAGTAGGGGGGCTTTTGGTGGATGGGAAGATGGTCTCCGGTTTCAGCTCCAATTGAAATCTCTGAATGGGGTGCGTCAGAGTACGTAGACGCACTGTTGTTTAGCCGTCAGTTTGGCTCCTTACCTCCCCTTATTTCCGTTCTAAAAACAGTTAACTAATATAAAAGCTCAGTTACTTAAGTCCATGGCACACATAACGGCAGACATAGTGTCTGGAAATAACAGCAGGCACATGGGGGTTGTTTTTGGTGGAGAGGGAGGCAAGGAGCAGTGTGTGATTAAGACATCTGTTGGGTGGGATTTCTGGGATGAGACACATGTTCAGGGTACTGAGAGACGCACACAAGACTACTGTGCATATAAACCCAAATAAAGTCTGAATTAACTGTGCAGAGGGCGGCAATGCAGGGCTGTAAAATGACCTTTTGTTCAATCTCTCTGTTCCACAGAGTTATTATTGCCTTGGCCTCTGAACGTGCTCATACTGTGGTTTTCTCTGTACATTTACAAACCTCAAGCTGCACAGAGAGACAGAAGGGCTCAGGGAGGTGTAATCTCACATTTCTGCCGTTCTGTTACTAGCTGGAAAATGAAAGCGGTGTTAGCGATTTCTTTGCACTGTTGTTACACACTAAGATACACTGGTGTTGAGATCCTGTGCTGAGGGTGTTGCAGTTGTTAACCATTATCTTTTTGTCTTCGTAGGCTGCTTCCACAGACTGTCGGCTTGCTGTACGTCGGCAACTATGACAGGCCCTTTGCAAAGATGAAGGTGAGAAGCAAAAAGAAGTGTGGTTTTGTTGAATTCATCCTCGTGCCAACAAGCCAAAGCCCCTTGTGCTCTTCCAGCTTCCCTTTAGCGTGGCGCAAGTATGTTGCTGAGTTTAAACTGCCAAGAATAAAAGGGATGCTCTAACCATTTGGCAAGCTAGGTTTTTTCTTTATCTATTAATGTGTAATGTGAATAATCATTGCAGTTTCAATGGTGTTCAGTTTATTTGTTTCACTTAACATAAATACTCAGTTAGTGGCTGCGTCATTTATCTACCTGAACTGCAGAACCAAAACATCTGTTTATTAAAGACAAATCTTTATTACTAATTTTCCCTGTTTTACACACAAATTTGATTAAATTCTATCAGAAATGTTTCATGTTTTGTGACCCAACAGTTACTCGCTGTCTTGACACATTCAGGACAATATTATTATAATAATAATAAATTGAATTTGTATAGCGCTTTTCACGAACTCAAAGTCGCTAGGCACAGTACTCAGTTTACCGATATTTGAGGGGAGATAAAAACTACACTGACACCAGCATGTTATGTTTTATGCTGGGTTTATGTGTAAATAAATGCATGATCACAGCAACAATTTCATCAGTGCAACAACATACTCACCACACTGTTTGTGTGAACAGTGAGTAAACTGTGAGTTTATCTTTTACAGAAAAACTCATTTGCTAATTCATTTAACTCACTGAACATGTACCGATACAACAGTACATGCATGTTTGTTTGTAATTGTTTACACTAGATGACCTATTTAAAAGGGCACAGATGGAGGGTTTCCAACAAACGTTTAAAAAAGAAAATCTTAAATGAACAAATAATTTTGTCATCATAATCCTACTCTTAACAGTTACATTGATTAATCAATTAGCCATTCTGCAGAACAGTTATTTTGTGCTTTTCAAGAATTTTTTTCAAGATTGTGATAGATTTGCTGCTTTTTTGTCTTATATGATAGTAAACTGAATTTGTCTGGGTTTTAGACTTTTAGTCAGACAAAACAAGCTTTTTAATAATGTTGCATTGGCCTTGAGTGGAAATTGTGATGAGCTTTTGTTTTTTTAGCATTAGCTGACATTTTATGGACCAAAGGATAATCAATAAAACGTGAAAATAATTACCAGATTATTTGATAATGAAAACTGGGGAATCATTAACTGCACGATCGCTAACTTTTACTATTGTCTGACTGTTTACTTGAAGTCCATTTTGTCTGTAATAGCTCTGCTGCACAGAGAGGCATCTAACAGCTGCACTTCACATAGTGAGTGCTTTCCTTGTTGTGTATTATGTGAGTGCACAGCTTTGTAATGTACAGGATTGCATCATCAGACCTTTGACACAGACTCAGTCAAGTGCACTTCACACTAACTAGCATCTCATCTCTATTAGATTACATATTACGTGAATTCACTAGTCTGCGGTTGAGGAGTAACGTGACAGAATTATTACTTTTGTTCTGCTGTTTCCATTTTGATGCAGATTTCTATAATGCAATTATGCTATATGGATATTTGCCACTAAATGCCTCTTAGTAGTAGGCCTTCCATTAGTTACAGTCATGGTTTAGAAACACAGCAAATGAGTGGTGCTTTTTCGGTTTTCCTTTCCCCTCAGTCAGTTCCCATGTATCAGCCCTGGGCTCTGTAACTGAACAAGGTAGAGGCTCTATTTTCTGCTCGGTCTCTAAGCTCCTCTCAGTGAGACAGAGCAAGAGTTGCAGCCCTGGGGTCAACTTCTGTCGGCTTTCATGTTGCTATTTTTGTTGAGAAATGTGTTTTACAGTCGGTCTTAGTGTGAATATGCAAAGAAATAAGGGTAATCGCATGCCAGCACAGGACATGGCGACTTGTGGTTCTGGCTGCGTGAATAATCATGATACATCTGACATGTAGTGCCTCCTCTGCACAGTCAGTGTGTGGTTGGCCTGCAGTGCACCACCACAGAGTAGCTCTGATATTAATTGCTTTGCTCATGGGCACGTTATAGTCATAAAGTAATGTCAGTGTGTTGATTAGATGTAATTTCAGGCAAAGCCAGTTGCCTGCTCATTTGAAAGCATCGGGCTGCTGGAAAAAATAAATCAAACCAACTTTTTTCTGTGATTAGAAAAATGTTGTAATCTTTTGAAAACCTGTTTTATTGACTCAATTCTTCCAATTTAGCGCCTTATTGTTGTAATTCCTTACACTGTTGGTACCTACAGGGAATTACTAAAATGAATTTGGGGAGGGAGCTTTCATGATGATTTACCCACTCAGCCTTTCAAAAACAGTAACAACAACTATTGACAAAGAGCCGACCAACTTTAGACCTTTTGTGTAGATAATTTGTGTTTAGTGGTTTTTAATTTTTTTTTAAATACAGCAGCTCCTATTTATGAATTAGTATATATTATAGATACCATTTAATCAGTTGGATCAGATCATATTTTACTGTATATTGCACTGAAGCTCAGTCTACCACTGCATATACAATTTTCATAGATCAGCAAACCACATATAGTCCTAAAGTGCAACTACTATGGTTTATTACATCATAGATTTTATTTTTGTTGCTCCTTTTCTTGGCTATGGCCGACCTGTTTGACCTACCATACTTACCCTAGTCTTAAAGGCATAGTTCAGTATTCCTTGTCACTAGGGTTGTCGTGGTGAAATAATTTCCTCCGCGGTAATATGTTGGGGCTCAACAGCGCGGGATGCGGTATTATTGCATTTTTCATCAATGAAGTAATTTGTTGCTATATAGCAGAGTAAGTGTCTGCGGATCTCACCTCACTGCACAGCGTGCAGCTAAAAGCAGCTTCATGGTCTGAGCAAGCTAGCTGCTAGGTGCCAGTCAACAACATAGCCAAGCAAAGTCATAGCAAACTTGACAGTGTGTTTTTCACACGTAATGTTCCTTCAGGGGATGTCCATCAAGTCAATTTACATACCGTAGCAACGCGCACACACCAACACACACACACAGGGGTGCGGAGCAGAATTGGCTGTCCACAACTAACCACTGTGCTGTAGTAATGTTATAACTAAATTTCCACAGAAAGCAACATGAAAAGCAGCTCTAGGCATCCAACACACTACGCTCATTAGTTAGTGAGCTTCAAATGAGGCTTACTGTTCAGTTTCTCTCAACCGTCAATGTATCACAACATCCCCGAGCCTGCTAGCCACATTAGCCGTGCAATATGCTAACGACAAGTTAGCTAACCTTTAAAGTAAACACTTAAACAAAACAAAACACGGCAGCACTTACAGCTTTACAGTTTGAAGTCGGGTCACGTACATCCCATGGCGATCCGTCCTTGAACCGTTACAGAGCTTGTTACTGTTGTGGAACTTTTGAAGCACAAATTTATTAATTTAACACGCCCTGAAGTGTACAGTATGAACTTTGCAGTTGTTGCGGTGCTTGCCATTCTCCATGGGAGGCTTGACAAAATAGCGCAGTATTTTAATTTGCGGTTATCGCGACAGCCCTGCACAAGTTGGATGAAAAGATTGATACTACTCTCATATCGCTGCAGTAAAAGCTTAGTTTAACTTAAGCATACAGCCTGGAAATGGGTGAACAGCTAGACTGGTTCTGTCGAAAGGTAACAAAATTGCTCACTAGCACCGTTAAGCTCCCTTATCAACACGCTATATCTTGTTTGTTTAATTAAATTTTGTTACCATTGGACAGAGTGAGGCTAGCTGTTTCCGGTCTTTGTGCTCAACTTAGCTACCGGCTGCTGGCTGTGGCTTAATATTTATCATCAACAACACCCATAGTTCCTGAGAATGCAGGAGGAGTTTTCAGTATGACCCACTGTGTTATTACAGTTTTGACTTCTAGAAAAAGTAGAATTAGCTAAAGCACGGTAGACCTAATAGCTAGTGATTCCCCTTTCGGGTTTAGTTTCACGGCTTCATGAGTCTGCTCCATGTGCAGAACTATATGTGGCCTGTGAGTACAGATCATTAATCATAAATAATTTGGATGGTGCCTGACAGATCAAGTCACCAGAGATGGAGATAAGAGCAGCTCTCTGTTAGACACCAGCCTCTTTTATGAAGCTGTGTGGTGTTGGGCAGTGCACACTTCACCTGCGGAGAGCTAAAATGTGTTTGACAGTTTCTTTCTATCAACGATTTCCCCAGTTTGTACAACACTATATGAATCATTAAGTTAGAGTTAGAAGTACAATTTCAGAAGTGTAAAGTTTAATAAATAGTAACGCTTTCACACTGAACTGCAATTAAAAATATTTGAATAGCATACCATCGGTTTGGGAGGGGGCGCCCTGCCCCCCCTGAAAGAATGACAAAAATGTATATAATTAGGCATGCTATGGATTCAATAAAAAAAGAAGCAAAAATTATATAAATTTATTTTTACACACACAGGCAATTCGTTTCTGGCTCATTGCCTCAAAAGTTTTAGTAGTTTGAACTTTATTTGTGCAATGTTCCGGTGTTTTCCGGCGCTGCTTTGGTCCTCGTTGTCGATGTTTCAGCAAGAGAGGGCTATACACTGGCACACACAGACATGCCGTCTTCGATATGACGGCTAGCAAGAGCTCATCACTTAAACAAACTAACAAAAGTGCAATCACATCAGCAGATGCATACACTTGTCAGAAAGTCAGAAATTCCGTTGGAAAAAAATAAAAATTATACCTCCGGTCATGCTTTGTGGAGCACTGCCCACGTGAAAGTTGCCTGTCAGACCCACTGCGTGTTCGGTAGCATGTGGAGGCTAATAACCTATTTGATAGGGGACAATTCACAGTAGACAAAGCAGTCATTTTGAATTGTCCCCTTTTAAATAGTATTATAATATTTTAATATCCCACTGTTGCAGTAAATCAAATTCATTGATATTGATTCAATTTGTAATTTTTTCTTATTGAATTGTTAATATTGTTATTCACCCACCACATGATTACGCACTCTTTCTGATGACAAAAGTTTTTACAGAAAACACGCAAATTGGAGAAAAAAAACGGAATCTGGCAAAAATGAAAACGGATTTCATGTGGCCCTGTGCATGGTGTCAAAGCCCAGTATGTGAATGTAGTATAACTGGAGCAAGCTCCATCAGGAGGTGGTAACTTTAGTGTTAAAAATGTTAAAGAGGAACAGAGAATACAAGCCTAAACAAAAATGTGTGCACCGCGTCTATGACGACGCCACGTATCCATAACAGCAGCACCACGACACTAGTAGTTTCAGAGGGTCTACCACCCCCCTGAAAAAAATTCCTAGGGGAAACCCTGATTAGGTTTTCATTTCCTCTTGATGTTTAATAGTTTTGTTGCCTACAGATTTTGTAATCGCATGAGATGTGCAATTACGAACCATGAATACTGTCAGAGTAAGTGAATGTGTTTCACACAGAAAATACTCAATCATGCTGCACCGCAAAACAAACCAATCAATTTGAAGTTTGGAGGTAAAAACACATTTCTGTGGGAATTTTCACTTCCTTGTGTGTTTTACTGCCTGCTTTCCCATCATTTGCCTCAGGTTACACATTATTATCTTGTTTTTCTCTCTGAGTATCTCCTCAGATCTGACATGACAGTCAATCTGAAAACGTGGGCTAATGATCTGTGCTAAACATATTCACCAGAGACCCGATGCTGGTGTCATGTAATGGGTTCGTGGGGAGTCGTTGGACTCCCATTTGTTTGTTCTCTGACACTGGCTATATAAGGCCACAAATTGTTGTAACTGACCTAACACGTGAGGTGAATATTTTAGCTTTACAATTCACACAGTTTGCTGAGTCATTCAGTGTAGTTGTGTATATTTTAGTAGGAGCTGAAGTTAATGGACAGAAGACATCTAATGTATTCTGTTTTCGAAGGGATATTAAAGTTGAACATTACTGTCCATCAGCTATGCTGTTCCTCTCTGAGGGGAGTGTTTGTTCTTGTTCATACTTTTGCATCTTATATCCTCTCCCCATTTATATAGTCTTTCATCTAGTTTCTCGTTATTAAAATGGACCCGAGTGCTGCGGTGTTGCAGACCTGCGGGCTGGTTCTGATTAAGTCTAGAATAAAACAAGGGAAGGGTCAGTGGAGGAGCAGTGTCGGGGAAAACAAAACAGCTACTCAAGGAAATTACAAACTTTGAATCTTTGCTCATTCATGTCGCTATCTCTACAAAATTCCTGTAATAAACTGAGTACAACATTCCCCACAGATCTCAGTATTTGATAAAGAAGCAGGTAGACTGTCTGGGTTGTGCACAGGCTAGTAAAAGGTCAGATTCCATATGCTTGTAGTGGTATGTAGTTACCATCAGTAATCAGTTTTGATTTACTGCATAATATATAATTACTGTCATACTTGTTTACTGTCTCCCAGTGATAAAAACTCTTGGTCCTTTTAAAATATTGACCTCCACGATACTTTTTTTCTCTATTAATCTCATGAGTTTGTACTCAAACTGAACTCACTAATTGTAGACTGCAGCTTTTTGGTTTCTCTTCTGTCCTTATATATTCATCCAAACAAGCCATTGTTGCAAGTAAAGGGCACACATTTTGCAAAGGAAAAACAAAGAAGTGGAAGGATGACAATACTGCTTTTCATACTTGTTAGATTTGTTTGTAGTTTCTAAATCTGAACAGCTCTGCAGTAGTGCAACACTGGCTGATGAAGAGTCCCTCTGCCAAAGTCCCTGATAACTGGAAGCACACGTGTGCTGCCATAATGAGGGAGATTTGGACAGATTAAGCACCAAGTGGTGATGAAAAATGGCAGCCAACAAGTCACCCTTCACCAGCAGGGAGAGATCCCAGCCTGTAGCAGCGCGTCCTGCCTGCATGTGCTGCCCTTTGCAGTTTTCTGGCAGCTTGTTGCATTGAGCTTTAGGAAAAGCTGAGAGATTCTGTCGCTCCCTTAAATCGTCTGCTGTTCTTCTCCGAATCAAACATGTTTGATTTACAGTTAGTCTTATTAATGTACTGTATTTCTTCAAACCGAGAGCAAAGACAAATGTTGCGGAGATAAATCAGAATATTTAAATTATAACCCAGAGTAATTAGGCATGCTCATGAGTTAAGATTTGTCACGGTTGTTATCTGAAATCTATTACTTAGTATATTTCTCTTTGGCCTGAATTCTCCCTCTCTGTTTTCTTTTTTCACACTCTGCCTTTGCTTCCTGTGTGATTTGGACCCCCACTGTCAGCCCAGATGCCCCACACTCCAGGCTCGCATGAGCTCTTACTTTGTGTTTTAGTGTCTTGCCAAACACCGGCGCTTTCCTGGCAATCGTGGTGACTCTCTGACCTTGGCTGGAGGCCACTGAACCCTTGGAGGTTGCCCTCTTTGTGTCTCGAGTCTCCACACACCCTGTCAGTACAGTCCATGTCTGCACAGCCTGTCACTACGAGGTCATGGGGAAAAATCACAGAACAGTGGTTCATAACTACTTGTATTGTTGTTGTTTTCTTCAAAGCCAACCGCTGCATTTGAGTCTTTCAGATGCACTTTTGAGAATACTCTCAGTGAGACACAGTCCCTCGACAAATAAACAACAGATGCTCAAATGTCTTCTTTGACTCACTCTTGATCTTCAGTATCGTGTGCCATTTTGGTATACTTTAACTATGTTACAGTGTGCTCAGTAGGGCTAGTAGTAGTAATCGATTACGTTAATACATCGAATCGCATAACGTGCGTTAAAGCGTCGCTGAATCTGGTGTTATCAGGAATTGACAATCTCCAGCTACAAGACCACGCCTTCGACCATCCAAAGTTTGGGAGTATTTTAGACAGACACTCAACAGCGTGGTGCTCCCGGAGCGCTGACGGCAGCACTGCAAATCCTGTTGATTTTAACTGTCTCCACACATGCACGACGACACGTAGTTTCTTCATCGCCGTCATGTTAAAAGTAATTTCCTCCCGGCTGCTGTCGTGGTAACGTAATGTTACACTGTTTTTCATCTAACATTCGGCCGTTTCATATTTTCTGTTTATTTTTGTTAACGGCCACGTATGAGCGAGAAAACAGCTGAATCTAACATTACAGACGATCTCTGACTGTCTGTGAGTCATTTCAGTTGTTTTCTTTGCCCCACACGGGTGCAGAAATACATTGATTATCATACCGCATTACTCAATATTGAAATAAATCCAATGTCAGAAACATTTAAAGTTTTAAGTAAAGTAGCCTAATTAATGTCTTGTTATTATCAAAACATGTCAGTGAGGTGGAAATTTGATTCATTTTAAGATTTGCTACTATTGTCATTATTCTAATGTGCTTCATCAGGATGACTGAATAAAATATTGATTTATTGATTAGACGTTTTAGATTACGTATTGTTTTTAATATTTATTAGTGATAAAATGGTATGTTAATCGAGTAATAGGCAACTTTTTGTTTCTTTAGAATAAACAAAATTAGTTGTTAGATTAATCGACTTGAAAAATAATCATTATGTACAGCCCTAGTGCTCAGTGTGTAGAGTTGATTTTGTTTTCAAAACAGAATATGATGTAATAAGTCCGTGATCCTGTGTAGCTCAGTAGGAGGAGCATGAACTGCTGTACTGCTTTGTCTGTCATTTTTTACTTACTTATTTATTTATTTTGAAAATACACCGGTTTTTGCCTAAATCCTAAAGTAGCACTGAAACAGAGAAAAGTAAATTTCATTTAGGTCATTTAAGATAGATCTGTCATATTATTGCAAATAAAAATAGTAACTTGCTTGACATTTTGAATCTTAAAATCTTCTCACACCTTTGGAAAGTAAGTACAGTACAGTCTGAAAGGTCTGAAAAATGGCAAATAAGTGGACCTTGAGTTACGATTATTGTGTTTTAGGTTTTGTGATAGTTTAGTGTTGAGTCAATTAAGATACAAATAACTTTAATGTGGTTACATCTTAACCAGTAAGCTACCGGGGCGCCTCCCAAACTCTAATGGTTTTGGCGAATGCCAAATATTTAGTGTTTTATATCAGTCTGCATTGATTAGAATTTTGAAAAGTTGCTCAAACAAAACAGGCATTTTGAATTTGTAGCTTTAACTTCTTTAAATTGTCACTGTTGTCTGACATTTGTTAGACTAAAACAATTAAACAGCTAATTATATTATGAATCATTAATGAAATTACTGCTAGTTGTAGTCCTGATATTGCTCATCCCAGGGCTTTGCACAGTTTGGTCACCACATTACATGTTTTGTGTTTCCTCAAAGGTTAATGGGTTTTGAAACAGTGACTTTTCATTTCCGTTTGTTGGCTCCCAGAGTGCCATTTTTTACTGCCAATTTAAGGGATAAAACCAGCGTAATGCTTGTTTTCTCTCCCCTCTCACCATTAAGAGAGGTGAAAATGTTGAACCAGTAAATGTATTCACTGCTGTCAAATGCTACTGCTGCCTGAATCAGTGTAATTCATCATGTTGAGCTGCGCATTTGTTGTTTTTCAATGCTACAGTCATTGTAGGTTATATTTCCATTTTGTGAATTCCGTTTATTGCATCTAAACGTTGCCCTCAAAAACTGCCTGAAGCTTTAATCTGCCAAAAGTATCAACTGTAAGTAGTGATAGCAAAAGTGAAGAGAATCATTTGCAGGGTATCCATTTCGTGTTTGAAAAAGCTGCAGTTACAGGTGCCAAATCTTTGATTTTGTTTTTCATAAATGCAGCATTGTAATGATCGAACTCTGTAACTACTTTGAAATAAAAAAGCAACACTTTAGTAGAGCAGACCATCATAGCTTCTGCATGTACAAAATCCATTAGAGGGTTTGCGGTTTTCACAGGCAGTGATTGCTGCAGAAGAAAGTAAAATTACACTTTCATTTCTTTCACCCTGTGTTGTTGGAGTACAAACCATCTGTGTCCTTTTTCATCTTTGCCTGCACAGGCCACTAAAGAGCTGAAACAGTACGACAACAAGATCATCGAGTGCACCTTCGCCAATAACAGCTGGGTGTTCATGAGGCAGAGGGTGGACAAGAGCTTCCCCAACTCCTACGACACAGCGATGGGTGAGACTTTGTCCTTCTCTGTCCAACAGTTATTTCTTAATATCTCTTCTATCTGAGTGAAAAGCAACCAGTCTGCCTGTGATTAATGGCATGTGTATACATATTTCACATCAGCCTCCTGTCTTTGTTTGATTCTCTATTTTTAGTGTGTGTGTGTGTGTGTGTGTGTGTGTGTGTGTGGGACAGGCAGACGTTCTACTGTGTACTTGCCTTTAAGTATGCACGCATACAGTCAGGCCATATATTTGCTGCCCTGAAAGCTCTTTTTTTTTTTTTTTTTTTTTAAACGTTTAGGTTATATCCTTACTTTTAAAAAACTTGACATTTTTGAAAAAACTGACATTTGCTGAATTTGCACTGTTGTATGTTAAAGCTGCACTCATTAATATATCATCTATGTGAAAGGGGTCACTCATAGCAACAAACCCACAGATAATTATCTCCTGACTGCAGTTCTCCTCAGATTTAAAGATCCTTTTGGCATCTTTCAGCTCATTGACTGGGTTTTTCTGTCCACCGCTTTTACAAAACCTGGTTAAATATTGTTAAAGGGTTTTTGCAGCCATTAGTCTACTAAAGCAGAGCTGCAGAAACATCATCTTCATGTCTTACTTGTTGTTGTTGATGATTACTTTTAATTTTAGGAATCTTGTAGGTAATGCTCTTCTTCAAATTATGCAGAAACTGAGCTGTATTTTATACGGTGGCCCGTAGGTTTCAGGCCTAATACAAATCCCACAACACGAACACAAAAGCCACAACACAAATACATTTGTTCATGTTGTGGCTTTTGTGTTCGTGTTGTGGGATTTGTATTAGGCCTGAAGCCTACGGGCCACCATAATTTCATCTTAAAGCGTACAAATAATTTTAGTTTTACTGGTCAATAAAAGAAAAACAGTGATCAACTCTGATTTGAATTCTAAACAAACGTTTTGAAAATGAAAATTGCACAGCTGTAACAGCTTCTTGAGGAAACAAAGAGAGCATGACTGGAAAGAATGCAAAAATAATAGTTTAGCACAGTAATAAACCTTATCTGTGTAGCACTTATCTAAATGCTGACTCTATAGTGCGGTACGAGGAGGCACATAAAAATACAAATTGAAGCTATAAAAACAAGAAGCACAAGCAAGAGAAAATACATTTAAAGAATGAATTGAATTTATAGAACAAGATAGTTCTGAATTATTGAGCTTTAGATCCTCAGGCAGGCTGCAAAAGCACCTTTTATCTAAAATCTAGACAGAAAGAACTGCATCTCCCCATGCTGATAACAACAGTTTTGTCTATTGGGGCTGCACGGTTTGGAGAAAAGCTCATATTGTGATTATTGTTGACAATATTGCAATTCGATTAAAATGGAACAAATGGTACTACGGATCTACTTACTTAATTATCAAGAATGCATGAAAATACTGACATTTTCAAATGTGTTATTTCTCAACTTGAACAAAGTTAAACATATTTTAGGGCTGTCAGCGTTAACCGCGATGAGATTAAGAATTGATCATAACTTAATTGTGTTAATCGCGTGTGTCAAATATTCTTATTTTACACAGTCACTGGTGCTGTTACCAAAGAATCTTTGCTAAAAATATCTTTGACTGCTACTATTTTGACCCTTCGATGCACCCTTACTTGTTGTCATGCTGCCACAGACACTTCCTACCTCCTGCTGCAACCATGGAGATGAACAACAACACAGTCCCAGACGGCTCCATTGACGACTCAAAAGCAGTATGCACCTTGCGTGAAATGGAATTAAAATATCATCAAAGCACTTCGAGCTTAAGCTAACGTTACCATCAACGAGCTAAGCATACAGCTAGTACAGCTAATCAGGTTGATGCTAGCGGACTGAGGCAAAGCACTATTTTGGAGAGTGCAAGTTTATAAATTGTCGTCGCGGGGGACAATTGTTGCACACATACATAGCCTGTATGAAACGGAGAAAGCAGTCAAACTGAAACTCCTACTTAAAGCAAGTGCTGTCTCATTGGTTTCAACTGAATTCAAAAATAATGTAGCAGTGGAGTATTTTGTTTGTTATGCACTTTATAATAATGTGTGTACATTTTGTACATGCACTTCTGCTGTAGAATTTTTGAAAGCAAGCTTAAGGAAGACTATATTTCATTTACATTGATTGATTTACCTCAGTCTCGAAATAACTTTCTTTGCATTAATTTGATTTCCAATCAAGATACACTGGCAAGAATTGTTATCATTGTTAATACAGACTTAAAACAGTTAAGATATATAATAATAATACTAGAATTTTAATCATGTGATAAAACATGCGATTAATCGTGATTAACTATTGAAATTCTGCGATCGCGATTAAGAAAAAATTAATCATTTGACAGCCCTTTTATATTTATAACAATATTTATAACAATAACAAGTTAAACAGATGTAAACCAGAACAAGGGAAGCATGTTGCTCTACGGAGAAAAGGGTTGGAAATACCTGGCTGGAGCTATAGCGGTTTCATATAGTGGGGGGGGGGGGTTAAATTCAAACCTCTACATTTGTCTCTGATTTGTTAATGCTAAGTACTAACTGGTCAATAATCATAATGTTCAACATTTAATAATTTGCTGTAGCACGTCAAACTTTTTTTTTATGTACCGCCCCATCCAGGCTGTGATTGGTCAGTTGACGAAAAGTGACACTGACAAGCACGTCGGCTCTGTGAAATGTTGAACAACAAAAGGCACTGATACAACCGACGTTAAATGGCCAGCGAGCCAAACACAAATCTTCCTTATCTTCTCTCAGTTTTCTTCTGTCTTACCGCTTCAGCTGCTGCCGACGTCGCTCTGTCACCGGCATTTCTCTCGGGGCTCTGGTAGAGAGTCCGACTATGTTTTGAATGATTAGCGGCGGGGCGGGGGGGTGTTACGGTAGGTTGTTGTCTTAAAAGTTAAAATCACACACTTTTTTTACGGTTATATAATTGCACATGACGACATCACAATTGCGATTAGATCAATCACTCAGCCCTAGTTTCTATTAAGAAGTGGTCACCACATGCTAATGTTTGTAGCTTACTTTTAATTCTGTCCTTACAATGTTGTTTGTGTGTTGGGGGGGGGGGTTGTTTTGAAAAAGCTGACCTGTGCTTCGTTTGGAGAGTTGCTGTTTGGGGGGAGGCGTTCAGCAAATAGTCAGTCATGTATTTAGTAGTTAATTAGTTGTGTTTTATTTAGCGTGTGCTAAAATAAACAAAATATAATGTAAATTCACTGTGTGCCAGGATGCACCGTCTCTGTAGTAATTTAATTTCTTCATCCTGTGTGTGTGTGTGTGTGTGTGTGTGTGTGTGTGTGTTGTTTCTCTCCCTAGCTGTGTGCAAAAGCATCCAGGAGCCCGTCACAAAGGAAATCCTCTTGGAGTATGTGGACCGCTGTGCTCAGGCAGTCCAGAACCGGAAACACCCACCAGACCCAGACTCTGAGCTAATGCCCCCTCCCCCTCCAAAGAGACCCAACCGGGCCATCCCGTAGCCCAAAGTTGGGCTTTCCGAACTGCCCTACAGTCAGTGTACATCTACATCACCAGCCACATGATCCCCCCCCCCACCACCACCTTCCCTACAGAACAACAGGCTTTCTTACCCTCTGCACATTTGCTTTATCAGCCTGTACATGTAAGGACTTCAGAAAAACTTAAATTGACTGCCTCAACATCATTAATTTACCTTGTAGACTTTGTAGCTTAAATTGCTGGTGTTCTTATTAAAATGAATGACATGATGTTTAGTTTATTTTTTTTGTTTTCCTATTTATCTTTTTTAAAGTCTGAGCTAATTGGTATTTATTAACAGGGACATTGTTTTGGCTACGATTAACACCTGACAGTGACGACCTTGTTTATGTTTTGTCAGCTAATTCCTTATTTGTATGGAAGGAAGAGTAAACATCATCAAAGCTCAGTCTGCCGTCTGAATGCATTTAAATCAGGACACAACACTTACTTTGCTGCATCAGAGATCTCGTTTAGATTAACTCAAAGCAGCATAGGTTTTGGGTTTCGAGTAAACAGAATAATGTTACTGCCAGTGTTCAACCCAAAATAAGGGGTTTCCAAATGAGTCACCAAACAGATAAAGATTAGATCTCAGCTGTCTGTTTTATAAGATTTTGTCCAAAGGAAGCCCATCTGTGTGGACGTTTGTTTTAAAGGCCACATGGGTGGGCGGGGAGATGACAACATGATTACACAGTCTCAACAAACTTGACTACAAAGGAGTAAAAGAGAAAACAATGGGCTACAGATGGGTGACAAATCAGCATAAACCAACATAAAATCTCTTAGGAAGGTGAACAGCTTTATTGCTCTTTGAGTTTCTGAAGTCTACAGGAAGGATGAGCACCATTCTTCCAAAAGAAATTTCCTAAATTGTTAGCGCTGTCTAACAAGTCTGACAAAAAGCTGTTAAATTGGTTTGAGAGCTGGTGAGGGAAGGCTTATAAGCTTTACATATTGATTGAACCATCCAATTAACCTGTGGATGGACGATTTACATCCTGGAAGTTTCATCATAGGATTAAGTCACTCAATCTTTTCCCTGTGCCATTTTTATCCTGCTTTGTATGTTTATATACAGTGAATGATATGCAGTTCAGAATGAACTGCCATTTTATTTTACTTCATTCATTGGGTATTTTGTCTTGTTTTTCCCCAAATCAGTCGGTAGTGAGGAATGTGTCTGTCCTGCTGAAAGTCACTTTCAGTCAGCACAGAAGCCACAGTAACAGTTTCTAGTTTCTCACTTCGATGAAACAAATGTGTAAATTTAATATGAGTTGTTGCCGTTCATGGGCTTGAAAACAACTTTCATCACAACTACATTCATCCACACTGGTCGCCAAATTATAATATCCTCAGCATCTTCCAGCCATCTATGGCTCCATATTTTTTGTTAATTGCAGAATTGCAACAAGTAGCACGGCCTTTCTCACTTTCGTCAACATTGTGGAGTACATGGTAATCGTTTGAATAAACAAAGGATAAACTGGGTTGTTTGTACAATAACCCTGTCAAAATTCCCAACCAATAGAAAGTCAGGTGTAGTGTTGTGACCGATAAAATGATCACTGCCTCGTTAGATGCCCCTTACGGGCAATTAGTCTTAGTACTCTCCCACTCCCACTCCTGACTCATGAAGATGATGTCCTTTTTGTTCCTTAAAAGGTCTTAAATGCATTAAATTAGTTCATCTAAAAATAAGGCCTTAATTGGTATTAAAATGTCTTCCTTCTCTCGTTCATGTAAGGGGGACCCGGGGTGTATGTATGTAGAAATGGCTCATTCTAAGGTAATAAAAACATAACGGTTCATTATGTGAGGTCTTAGTTATTTCTTTCTAAATCAATCTTTCAAAGGTCTTAAATTTTAAGCAGGATTTTTGGATAGTTTTATTCTGACTTTGCATTGTAATCTTACTAATTGGTTGCACCTTTGTTTTTTTTTTTATTTACCTCTCTGATGTTTCTGAATCTGTAACACTCATATTTTGTTTCTGGACGGTATGCTCAAAATAGAGAATCCTTTGCTAGCTAGCTGTCACTGTACCCCAAACAATATAGGGGGAAATTCAGCAAAAACGGTCTATTTAACCAAGGCATGGCTGAAACTGGTACAAGACAGCGCATACGAGGATACGCACGGCACCATGGGAATAAAGATGGAGGAATCCCACATGCAGATTGAGTAACACAAAATGGTAGGGAAGCACTGAAATGAAAAATCTTGGCCGTAGCAGAATATAATGAAAATATTTGCCAAATGCAAACACCAAACAAGTACATAACAATTACATATACAATTTTTTGCCTTTTTATGTTATTTTTTTGCCACTGCATAAATTAAATGGTCAAAATGAGCTTTTTATTCATCCCACAGGATTTGGAGAGACAGTGGTGGGTGGGTCCAAGGCCCGAGAGGTAAAGTAAATTCCGGTAAAGTAAATTACACGTGACTGTTTACTTTAAATGTACACGTGTAATATGTTTTATACTTTATGTGAATATAATCCAATTAATCTTATTTCCATGTATATATTATTTATACCTTTGAAAACCAGACGTTGTCACGTGTATCCTTGCGCTAAATTCATCAAGTCTGACCCAATTAGTTAAATAATGTTGGATGTGGTTCTCATATCGCGTAACACTAAGACTTAATAGCCTCTCTTCAGGTAGGACTCTCATACTGCAACACTTGTCTTTGTAAAGAGAGACAATGACAGGATAAAGTCGCTAACCTGCCTGTCAGCTCGCACTGGTCCGTTTCAGTTACCAAAAAGGCTTGAATACATGTGCACTCCAAATGTAGGTGCGGCTAGCTTAATCGCCTTCTCACAAACAAGTAACAGACACACTCCTTTTCTTAGCAGTCAGCTACAGATGGAGTGGATGTGTTTTTGCGTCTTTCTCTGACACTTTTAAATGCTTCCACACTGCTGACATGTCAACGAAATTGTTCGGTAAAATTTAATTGGTCATTTGACTTCTGAGGCAGGACACCGAAAGTGCTGGTATTTGCTATTTTCTGCCGATTTAATTTTGGTGGCCAAACATTCGGTGCATCCCTACAAAATTGATAGGAAAACCTGCTAACAAATGCCAGGTATTTCCAAGTCCAGTTCTACCTTCAAAACAAAACGGCAATCATACAAGTCGAAGGAGGTAGTTGGAAACCTATTTTGTTCAGTGATCCCTTTTTTCTTCAAATTTGGTTGTAGAAATTTCTTAAATTTCATCCCGAGTGGCATTAAAGTCGTAAAGAAAGGAATGGAAGTACATATAAAACCTCAGAGGGTGGGAGTGGATGAACCTGGTTAAAGAGTAACAACCCGTAAAGAACGCTCTAAGAAGTGAAGCATAGAGTTTGAGCAGAAGCAGAGCAAATATAAGTGCAAGGGAATGCATTACAAAATCTGAATGTGAAATCAACAAGTCATGCTCTCAAATTGAAAGACAACACTCTTGAGAAAAGATGGCCATGCAAAATAATGCAGTTAAAACATGTAGTGCGTACCTGCCAACATTTAGCGCGGCAGGCTTTTTAATTGAGTACAGTGACTGCCCGGCTTAACAGTCATCTCGCTGCTGATGAAACTTATAACAGTTTAGTTTCAGAACTTTACTGTCAAATTTAAGTTCACTTCTATGTATCGATTAGCCTCCAGACATAAAACGGTTTATCTACTTAGCTCCTGACAGAAATCTGAGGAGAAAGCACTCCTCTTAATGCATCATCTTAAAATAAACGGAAATGTGTCCACTTTTCCATTTGCTCAAGATGTCTGGCACAGGAATAACACATTACCTCTGGCAACATTTTCCACCAGCTCTCAAAACACTTCTTGTAGCTGACATCTAACCTCCCTATGGAGGGCAGAGAAATGAAGGTAATTTCCCATTAGATTTTTAGAACAACATAGTTGCTCCTTTATTTTAATCCCAAAACCTCGTTGCCAGGGAAAATTGTAATATTTTTTCTTACCCTGTTGCCCACGTTGTTGCCTGTTGCTAGGAGAGTCACCCATCTGCACTGTTTATCACCCACTGTAGCGTAGAAATGATTTACTCGACAGATGATTAGTAACAAGAATTGACTAGTGCATTTCAATTCTTGGTTTGGTTTTGACTGTGTAATCAGAGTGAAATAATGTCTCCAATCAGTTTCATTTATTTATGTTATTGTTTTATTATGAGGGACAATCTCTCTCTCTCTCTCGGCCAAGAGTGAATGATGCTGCTGAAATGATTCACCATTCGGGGAATATTTCTGTCTGACTAAAAGGGTTTCATTTCTGAACAATTGTGTTGTTGAAGTTTGAAATCTGTGTGTCTACGCTCCCATGCCGTGAAAGGGATTATTTTTAGGCCCGAGTGTCAGAATCTGTGCTTATTTTAAGATTAGGGTGACGACAGTGGTTAGTCATGCAGCCTGGTGAATTTAGATCTGAAGTTAGGGAATAAAATTAAGTCAGTGGAGTATAACACATGAGGGTGTAACAAATCAGGCCTGTGTGTGTGTGTGTTTTGAGTTCTTGTCTGCTAGCGCCTGAAGCGACGGTTCTCCTTATAGCAGAGATAGATGAGCTGTACTCCCAGGGTTCTCTTCCCCTCTGGCTGCACATGAAAGCTGGCTGATTCTCATCAAAGGCTCGCTCACCTTTTTGTCATGAGGTTGCTGCCGCGGAGACTCATGCAGCAGGTGCAGGATCGACAACAGCAGGCACATAAATACCTGTTTTTCTCTTCTTAAATTCCATTCACATATATTCATCCTCTCTAGCTGAGCTGCATAGCTGCCTGATCTAATATTATCCAAACCCGTTTTTTATGCCAAACCTGTTTAGTAAAATGTCCCCTCTTTGCAGAAGTAAACATTGCGAGGGTGGAAGCTTGAGAAAACACACACAAACACATGAAAAGACAGATCCGGGAACATCAATGCGGTGTTTTATCTGGGTGTGTATGTGCCCCTGGAGGTGCAGGAGGCACGAGGGGCCAACGCTGTAACTGTATGGATCTGGAAATGTAAACACAAAAACATCTTGCATCTCTGCATGAGCACAAGTGGTGCTGCAAAGATGATGTAGCTCACTCTTCTCTGCACCAGGTGTTGGGAGTCTGGAAGCCGCCGAGCTTCACGGTGATATTAAATCAGCGGAGATGCCTTGCAGGTCATTATCATCTCAATAATATCTGCATTTTGAATAATGTGTTTCTAATGTGGTTCCTTCTGTCTGCGAAGATGGGCTTTATGTGGAGCTCCAACCAGCTTGTGTGCTCACACACTGTTTTGTTTGTGCCTACTTAAAGCATACTTTTTTATGCTTGACCTTTTTATTGTCATTGTCAACACGATGCTAAAAGTCCAATACATATTTATTATTGAAGACAAAAAAATTCTGTC